TGGTGATCAACCGTCTCTGACCTAAAATCCAAATACGCCGAGCATGTTTAGTGGTTTAGACGTTTCTTCAGCGAACAGAAGTGAGACGTGAGGCAGTGACAAGTGCACATACAGTCCTGGTTCGCGTGCCCATGATTCCATTCCGGACAGGCACGCATAACGGAGCAGCTGCGAACGTGCAATTCTCGACTTATTCACTAATAAAATAATACAATATAATAACAAAACGCAGACAGCTCTTGAGCAAATTTAAAGAAACCTTTACCCCAAGGCGGAAGCAGCAAGTGTATTTACATCGACGTAGTAGTAGGTTTCTTTATCGCTAAATATAAAATACACTATTGTTAATTGACTCAAGCCCATGGCAGTATGTAAAACCCAAAGCAACATTTATGAGTTATTTCTAACGATCTCGGTGACCTCAAAACTGATTTTGCAGAGCGCTTTTTCTCTTCTTACTCCGTCTGAAATGGTCCTCACCATTATATGGCGCAGAAACACATTCCAAATTAGCGAACTCTCACTTTAAATTTAAGGCAAATCACCTGATATGAACTTACCTGATATAACGATAATCTATCCGCTTTGGAAGGATATACCTTCAGGATCCGTAGAAAAAACCATACAAATGCAACACCGAATATACGTAAGACCTTGTGATTTTCACAATACAGCTACGTATATTCCGTTTTGTCATATGTTGCAAACTGAACTTAAAGATCATTTAGGAATTGCCTGATACTACACAACGGGAACGTACCATTTGTTCCCAGAGCCAAGATAACTTACTGAAAGTTGATGAAAGTATCATGTCTTGAAAGCAAGTTTGTTTGGCATAATTACATTCCAACTAAAAATTTAGTTTGAATGAATCCCGGGTCATATCACGTAATCTCTTAAAGATACTACATAACTTCAGATTAATCTTTTAAAAATTTCCGTCGTCCTGCTTACTTTCAGGCCAGACGGATAAATATATTAGCGGAAAGAAAAGAAAAGCACTCATTGACACTTGTCATTAAATCTGAAAAAACACAGCGTAAATTTTCACAATATGTTTTTATTCGTTCCAGCAAAGAATCATATGTAAGTTCTAGAGGAAATTTGATCAAACGGAGATCAGAACCTGCTTAACGCTTTCTGGCAGGAAGTGGAAGTTAGCACTTCGGTGAAGGTCGCCGAAAACCCAGAAGAAGACGATGAACATAGTAAGCAGTACCGAAGACACGACTCGTTCTGAACGGATGACGCAGTCGGAGCGATGTCATTATAGCGTGTCACGCCATGTTTAACAGGAGAGATACTGAGAGTTGGAGTTCACAGGAAGAAGTTAGGAAACCTCCTAATCTTGCTCAGATAAAAACAGGAGTGAATCGATGCGGCCGCACTGTATGGACTGAATAGAGTTAGACTCTTGTGAATATGAAGCTTTGGCTCTGGAATTATGGAAGTCAACATTTGGAAGCCATTCACTTAAATGGTGATTGTTCGACCCACTCTAAGACCGGTGTTAGGGTTCTGGCAGACTTGAACCTGGCTGACAAAACTACTGAATAGAACCGTATTAGCGTTTCATAATCATCAACTGAAGATTTGACCCAGTTATCTATCTCTGCACACATTTCAGAGAAAGAATATGAGTCCCATTTGAAGGAAGTAAAAGATACCCTGTATGAAATGTCGACTATGGAACCAGTCATTATGACGAACGATTTCAATGTGCATGTCAAAGTCGACACGAAAAATTGGAAAGACTTGGTTGGAAAGAATGGCTCCAGCAATCTCAACAGTAATGGCGAGAAATTTTTGCGTTTATGTGCGTACAACCTATCTGTTATAAACCTGTTAGCATCGAAACATGCATCGATAAGTTTACGCCCAGAAGTCCATGATCCTTTTGATCATTGTAATGTCTGTAATGGATGATTTGTAATGTATGTTTACAGTAAGAAAGGTGCAAAGCTGTCAACTGATCACCAATGCGCTGTTGGCCCTCTCCACTGCAAACATGCAGCAGCATGCGGAGACTTGGCGGAAAAACCAGCCAGAGAATAATTTAAGAATAATCATCTTCTGCGGATCAGAAGACAAAACTTAGGAGCAACGTAGCAT